TGAGTTTAGATAGGGGAAAAGCGGCGGGACCGGACGAAATCCACCCGGAAATGTTGAGGCCTCTAAGGAGTATCCTGAGAGCCCCGCTAGCTCGCCTCTTCAATCTGTCCATGGCGACAGCCGCATTGCCGCAGGACTGGAAAGTAGCTAATGTCGCCCCCATCCACAAAGGGGGCGACAGGAAGCTGGCCACTAACTATAGGCCCGTTAGCTTACTCTCAGTGGTCCTAAAGGTCATGAGAAGACTAATCAGAGATAGCATAGCCAGGTACCTCACCCAATGCGGCCTGCTCGCGGAGGCTCAGCACGGGTTTNGTCAAGGCTGTTCGTGCCTCACAAACCTGCTAGCCTTCCTGGATGCCGTGACTGAGCGGCTGGACAGAGGGGAGGGAGTCAAAGTCTGCTATCTAGACTTCAGAAAGGCCTTTGACTCCGTCAACCATCGGCTGCTGTTAGCCAAGCTAGGATCGATAGGGTTCCACCCTAGTTTAGTCAGGTGGACTGAGAGCTGCCTGACAGGGAAGACCTTTCGTGTACGGGTGGAGGGGGATTGGTCGGAATGCGGGCACGCTCATAGCGGGTTCCCACAAGGCTCGGTGCTTGGACCATTGTTATTTCTGGTCTTTATCAATGATCTAGTCCCCCGTCTATCGAACCCGACGTTCATCTTTGCAGGCGACGTTAAACCACTTGGCTCGCATCAGGGTTTAGACCTCCAGCTGGACGTAGATGCAGTACAAGCATGGTCTGTATAGTGGGGTCTTCCTTTAAATGCAGTAAAGTGTAAGATCCTACGAGGCGGGAGTGCTCAGGGTTTTGGGCCACGCTACATAGGAGCTCGCGACGGGGATGCTATGGCAGTTGTACCAGACCTAGGGGTCACTCTGAACTCCGCTTTTAACTCCTCTGCCCAGTGTCTTGCTGCGGCACGTACGGCCAATAGAACGTTGTTCAGGTTGAAGCGCACAGTGACGTCTAGGGATCTTGTCGTGCTAGTCCCGCTCTACATGGCCTTCGTTCGGCCGCATCTTGAGCACTGCGTACAAGCTTGGTCTCCTACTCTGAAGAAGGACCAAAGGGTTCTGGAAAGGGTGCAGAGGAGGTTCACGCGCATGTTCCCGCACCTTAGGGGAGCGACATATGCCGAACGCCTTCAGGGGCTGAACCTGTTCTCACTCAATCGGAGAAGGCTGAGGGGAGACCTGATTGAAACCTTCCGTATCTTGACGGGTTTCTCTCAGGGAATCTTTTACCTACTTCAGCCGAGCGGTGTACCCAACAGAAGTGGACACAGCATGAAGTTAGACAAGCCTCGGGCGCTCAAACGCCTGAGAGCCACCGTTTATTCGCACCGGGTAATGAATACATGGAACAAACTGCCGCAGGAGGTAGTGGCGTCAAAAGCCATTGCTGAGTTCAAGCTGAAGCTTGACGCTTCCTGGGCATCAGCGTTCCCCGATTGTATCTGACACCGGGCCTAAGGTCTCTAAGGTCTCCGTGTCCCCCACCTTTAACTCTTTATCTCTTACTCCATTTCGATTTCTCCAACTCCCTCAGCTCAATTTTTCATTCCCTGTGCACCGCATTTTACTGAAAGTTCTCAACATCCAGCACCACCACTTGTAGGTCATGTTTCTTCTCCCAACACACCTCTTACTCTGGGTAGCTCGAAGCGGTTGGTTGCGAGCTGTTACTTTGATCTTGACCAAACCTCAGACGTGTACTATCAAATCGAGGAATCATTACAAGTGCGTTTTCCTTTTCCAGAACCGGACTCACCCACGTCTCCGTGAACGAAATAATACTATTGTCTCAGTGCCGTGGTGCTCCCAAGCTCATTGGTGCAAGAAACTGGGCTGCTTCTGGCTCCGCCGCAAGTCCTGAGACCTTTCCTGTCATGCCCTGTCCTGTCTACTTGCAGGAGCCACATTCGACATGTGTTAACTGATATGAGCTGATCTAAATTGGAAGTTATGTTTGTTTATTCCTGGGACATTCTGTGCCTTGTTCCGTTCCCGCCGCAACAAAACCAGCGCTTGAGAGTTTTCAAGGAGATAGAAAACGCAACACACCGTAAAAGATCAACTTTTGTGAAGACTTCTGTGAGAAGAAGTTTTTCTTTTGTTAGAACTGATCATTTATTTGAACTCATAAAGCTCGAAAGATGAGCAACCCCTTGAATCGCTCAATTAAATGCTGCGAACAAAATTAAAAATGCCAGAGCAACAAATCACATTTCAGATGGCCATACAATAAAAGATGCCATCACCTACAAGAGATTCTGTCAACTTTTCCGTGGATGTTGAGGAGAATAGACAGAATTCCATAACGAAGATACAAGGGAATTGTGGAAAAGATCTACGGTTTGATGAGGTGAAATATCATGTCTTCCAAGGAAGAGGAATCGGTAACCTATGAATTTTCTGTCGAGTAACATACTATTCAGGTGACAAGTTCATTTTAAAAGACATATCAGGCTCGTTCAAATCTGGGAATCTCAGTGCAATCATGGGACCTAGTGGTGCTGGAAAAAGTTCTTTAATGAACATTCTGGCTGGATATCGCACGAAAAATGTATCCGGGAATATATTTGTTAATAATAGAGAGCGCAATCCTCAAGAATTCCGCAAAATGTCCTGCTACATTATGCAAGATGACCTCTTATTACCCCACTTGTCGGTTGAGGAAGCAATGATGTGCAGTGCAAATCTCAAGCTGAATGAAACAATTAGTACAGAAGAAAAAAGACAGATAGTAAGTAAGATTATTATCGCTCTTTTTCTCATTTTTTTCATCAGTATGGTTTTGTGCTTATGCACTTTCTGTGGAATATATGTATGGAAATATTTATAGGGCATTATTCACATACCTGTCGGCAAAAACGCGAATATAACACGCAATCTTGCGCGTTCTGCTTCGCAAAACGTTTCGTGCAAAATTTCGTGAATGAAGCGTGAATTTGCAACAGGCACGTTGTGCGTTTCCCCCGTCACCTACGGAACGAACGTCTTTTATCCATTCGTTTCTTTTCCCGTTTTTCCACGCCACAATTCACTTAAAATATGTTTACCTCGCTTATTTCTGATAAAGATACGCCTATATCTCCCACTTAACTGCTCCGCCTATATTTGAACCTACCGGTTTGCTTCTATCGAGTAATCGTTCGTCTATTCAAGGCCTATCCCATACCAATATATCCCGTCAAGTAAAAGACCCAAGGATATAGTACAATAAATTTATTATACAGGAGCATAATAAATATAGAACAATGAGAGTAACTCTTTATTCATGCTTGTGAATGAACTTCTTCAACAGACGGGTTCCTTCTTGATAACTCTATTCACTGAACTAATGACGATAAATGGCATCTATATAATGGAAACATAAAAGAATATTCGTATAAATCAGAAAACTTGTAAAATAACTATAATGAAAATCACATTTGAACTCAACAATCTATTTACATAATGCATTCCAAATTAACCATCCATTGAAAATGCGTGATAACAGCGCAAAACAGTATAAAAAATAACAGGAAATTATCAAGTAAATATAAGTGGAACACTATGAATAAATCGTTACGAGATGTAAGTATTACAAAGCTTATCAGTATTTCCACTTATCCATGATTGCATCTGTTGCACATGTTGAGGACAGTGTGCGTTTTCCATGGATGCCATTTCAATTGAACCTTTTGCTCAGCTGCGGGGTGGAAACGCGTCTAACTAGAAGATGTATCAACTCCCGCATTGTGTCACCCCAACAGCGACGAGGTAATTCACCTCTAACGATAAACTCCATATTTACTGAATCGATGACGGTAAACGACATCTACAAAATGGAAGTATCAAAGAATATTAATATGAATCAGAGGAGTTGTAAAAAGTATAAGCGGGAGCTAATATGAACTTTATATTGGATTTACATAATGTATTCATTATAAACACTCACTTAATTATGCGTGATAGCTACCTTATGTATTAACAAAAACTACCAAGGAATAAAACATCCCATATGGGGAAACACACAACCAACGTTTCATCACGAAGTATCTCTACATAAAAGCTAAACAGGATTTGAAATTACCCATGATCGCGTCTCTTATGCACCATGACGACAATGAGTGTTTTCCGTGGATGCCACTCCAATTCAATCCACTGTTAATGAAGATAAAGGTATCATTCACCTATATTCATTAATAAATTAAATGTGAATCAAAATTACATTTCATGTTGGGTATCAATTATTGTTGATTGGGCAGAAAGTCGACTTATTTAAGTAGACCATCTCAATAGTTAGCTAATTTCTGTTAGCATAAGGATTAAATATTTCATCTTGATGCTTGGCATTGCGTATCAGATGTGCTTGGTGTCTGAATTAAGGACCTGTGTGATAAATAATTGAAAATGAATAAAAGCTTTACCGCGTCGGTGGTGGACAGTTCTCTTTTTTGGTCCCTGACTCCGATAAGCTGGTATTGCTGCTTCTCGAGTGCCGTGGCACTCTAGACATACATATTTCAACTCTGCAGTCTACTTACTTTACGCTTAAGCTGATAATAATCATAAGAATAATTTATAATTGGCCCAGTTTAGGCCATAGAACCTCATTGTCTGAGATGAACCACTTTTGGTGCATTGTGACTATCGCATCATCGGCGAATTCAAAATAAAGTTAAAGCTACTAGAGGATTCACATTCATCAACGCATAATGACTATTAAAAGGTATTCTTAATAAGTCGACAACAATACGTATATTTGAATAACCGATATAAATAAATTTTCACTTGTGGTATATAAATTTTAACATGAATGAATTATAATAAACAATGAGGTGCTACCTTCATTTTATAAACGTATGTAGGGGGCGGCGATAGTTAGCTAGTATGGCGGACAAACAAACTGCCCACCAAAACTAAGGGTCAATTAAAAAAGCGGAAAATATTGTTGATAAAATGAAAATTGAAAAAACTAATTTGACATTTATGAAAATGTAATAATGTTTTATTTAATTCTGCACAGCTGGAATGGAGAAAAGACAGGTTTCGGAAAAATCGCGAAAGTCGGAGCGTTTAGAAAGCGAAAAGATGCTGCGGCGTGTTGGTAAGGACACTTCTGAGTTCATGGAGTCAGACTGTGCTAAACAAATCATACTAAAATAGCCTCCATAAAAAGGAGAAAGTTCAACAATTTGTTTGTGGGCGGAATATTCTGCCTTGGCACTATATAGTACCAGGTTGCACAGACTAAGGTTTACTTAGCAAATTCACAACCAGAGCCGTTGGTTAACCAGAGCCGGGTCCACATTTATTTACCTCCTTTAAAGCAGTTCAGTTTCCTTCACTTTAGTTCAGTATGCAAGGACAATCAGGCGTCCAGATTGTTGTTTTTTGCGGGTATTTGTAGCTTCCAACATTGCGTATATTCAATCTCAGCGCTCAACCGTGACATCTCGTTTTTGTTGGTGGTTCCAGTTGGTTTAGTCCTCAATGGGCGTTTTCAGCTCAGATTTTTCTGGAAATAGACGTATAACAGCTCAGCGGTCTAGTCCTGGGTCAGGCTGTTATGGGTTAGCGGTTAGTATAGAGGACCCCAAGCCTGACAAGCTTAAAACGTTGGCACCTGGTAGATTCATAGAAAAAACTAATAGAAAACATCTATATCTAGTATATATCCATATATGTAGACAGAAAGCCTTACAGACTGGAATGAGTGGGTGTTTTGTCAGCCCCTTACTCCTCAGTAGCCCGCTTCTGGGTAAACGGTTCTCCAACACTCATCCAAGGCCCTCTTGAACAATAAAACAGTGATACATCTGTGAAAAATCCATAGTGTTTTAGGGACTGGCCAGACCAATGTCCACTTGAAGCCATTCGGGATAATTACGTGTCTATAGACTATCCGTCTTTGACAACCGTTGTCTGCGAAATACCACCTGCTTATGGTGGGAGCATCACGTGAATAACGATGAGATCAGGAGATGGAGACTAGGATCAGATAGTCTTCCGTTGAGCAAAATAATATTACAGCATCGTCTTAGGTCCCTAAAGCACGTCCTACTAATGCCTGAGCAACTTCTGCTA